ATATATATATATATATATATATATATATATATATATATATATATATATATATATATTACCAAAAAGCTTTTCAAGATGTAGAAGCGGCTTTAAGATTATAAATATGGACGAATAAAATGATGGAATTGCATGATGATATATTTGAAAACCGAAACATAATTTTCTAATAGACTAAAATTTTTGGGTCAATTTTAAAGGGTGTTTGACAAAAATCTTCAAAAAAAAAAGGAAACTACTTTCCATGTTTGAATGATTGTGCCATTTATTTCATATTTTTTTTCCTGATGGAACTGAACTGTTCAACCTAATATAATCAACCGGTTAGCGATAATTCAAATTATTTTGATCTTTCAAAGACAAATAAAAAAAATTAGCATCGCCTCAAGTTTCTGAAATCACTGAAAAGGACTTCAAATTTCAAAGAATACCATTCTTTATGATATACCAATTTAATCCTTACTCATCTACCATCACAAAGTAATCATATTACACATGAACTTTATTTTGTTATTTCTTCAATACAAGGAAAATGAACATTTCAGATGTAGATCTAATCTTGCCAAAAGCACTTGCTTCACTGTCACAGCATGGAGTACAAAAGACCCATCTGATCCTGAAGAAAAACCTCTCTGTCTATCGAAATATCTGTCAGCCGCAATTCTATTCAAGTCTCGCCGACCAACCATGTTGATCCTGATGAACCATCCTACGAATGTAAACATTGATCCACATCGAAACCACGAGGATCAGATGGGCTGGCACCTGGTCTGTTACAGGTTAAAGTGAAAGAAGTTAGTCCAGTTCTAGGCAGAACTATTTATTGCAGAAGGATCTGGAAAAGCTAGGTTAAATTCTAAAAATTAAAGTTGCAAATACATTGAAGTAAAAGATAATTTGAATCCAGAAAAGTTCAGATAAGATGGCCACTAGCTGGTGACAGTTAACTCCAATATTGTTTCTATAGATGAAAGGCACAGATATACTAGGGTTTTTTAAGAGGAGATGCAAGACCTTTGCTTACCTCTTATTTATGGTGCAATAGTGAAACTTGAGATTTCCAGATTTGGTGTCTTCGATATACTGCAACCACAGTGAAAAAGAGTCGAGAATGACCAACATTAGAAGTGACTGTGAACTAATTCATCAGTGCGATAGAATCCAACAATAAATCGGCTTCGGCAAAGAAAGATAGCAAGTCGAAAGAATAAATGCAAAACTCTACTAACCATCTTCAAAGTAACAATGATTGAAGAAAATGCAAGGGAATCAAATGGTATGTCATCCAACGCAAAAAGTGCACACTTCAGTGACTCAGGGCCTGGTGAAAAATGAGGTGTCTTCAGTCTTGCTCGGAAGATGATGTAACTCTGTACTGCACATGAGATTGGACATACTACTTCACTTTCAAGATACTATAAAGATTTTATCCAGATAAGATTAGCAGCAGAACTAAGTTATCTCACTTGGCCAATGCGAGGTATGTCTAACTGAGCAAATGGTGCAAGGACTTCAACTTCAGCACATGCTTCTTCCAAAGTTTCTCTAGCTGCCCCTTCTGCAGCAGACTCTCCAATCTCCAAGAAACCAGCTGGAAGTGTCCTGCAGATTTGAAAATTAAATAATTAGACCACATTCTTCTCAAGACAGATCATATGGACAGCATATTTAATGTACATAATCAGAGTAAAACTACGGGCGTATTGGGAGGATTCAGAAGAAGAAAAGCAAATGTGGGCCTCCAAATTGAGGGCCAGCTCCATTAAACTTGATCTACGCTATTTATAAAACTTAGAAAGAAAATTATATAATCTGACAATGCTTTGCATGTTCAGCAAACCAACAAAAGATGCACCTATGCAAAAAAGAAGCACTAAAATATGTTGTAGGCCATTTCCTTCAGGTCCCTCAGAAAATTTCAATTAAGGTTCTGCAACTGGTGTAATATAAATCAGTGGGCCCACTCCATTTCTATTACTCCTTTTTATCTTTTATTCTTTCATTTTATACTGAATCATGCCTTCGAGTCTGTGAAGAAGCTGCTGGTGATAGTGTCTTCAATCTCAAGTCAAGAAGTGTTGATGTATCTTATTTTAACGATTGCAGTTCTGAGTACTGGACATGTATTGGTTCATGGCTGAAGCAATACGGATCCAGTTCATGCATGCAAACTATATGTATCGTGGTACCAAGAAGGGGAAAGGAGAAGGAGAAGTACAGGAGGTCCAGGGATGACGAGCAACAGGTGGGTGACATCACAAGTCCCTAGTCTGCATGCAAACTATAAGTGGCAGATTTATAAGAAAAAACAGAGCGAACTGCTGGAAAGACTCACTTAAGTGAATCAGTCTACCACTCACTTAGAGACAGGGATAAGGTGGTCTGCAATCTGCATCCTGGTTCACATTTGGACCGGCAATACCAGCCAGTACTAACCAGTCCAGGAGAAATCACATTCCTAAATCTATATCTTTTTTCAAATTAATATAAGTTCTGATATCAAAATTGCTTATTCTTAGATTTTTCTCAATAGATACATAAAAAAAGACCTTCATTAAATCTAGTTCATCATTTCGACATTAAATTATTGCATATCATATTTGATGGTGTTGACTTATCAGATTTGAGATTCATTTCATAATTGACCTGATACGGTTAAGAAGTCGATGGTGTTGATCTTCATGTTTCTTCTGATTTGAACTGCCAAGATTGAGACCTCAGTACTTTTCTTTTCCAATAGTATATAAGCTTAAATCTAAAGACTCATACATGATGTAAAGCATGAACAGATATTCACAATAAAGATTGATCATGCATTTTGATTTTTAGAACATGTAGATGTATTTGCAAAAGAAACAAAGATTGGAAATAGGAATTGATGGTAGTGATTCAATATATTTAGACACTGTTACAAAATTTTAATTTTTAAAGACATGTTATATAGGACATATTCTTTTATAATTAGTAATTGTAGTTTTTTCGTGCTTTCTAACCTTTTTAGTATATTACTACATTGTGTCTTAACACTTCAACAGATAAAACACGTGTTATCTCAAGATACCTACAATTTAGAGCCACATAACTGAACAAAAAGAGGAAAAAAAGAGAAAAACCTTAGAGTGAACTAATTGCTTAGGTTTCCATTCTCAAGCAATTAATACAAGTAAAAGCATAAAACCAAATATCCAATCAACAGAAAAGAGAGGACAAGGTAAGCACCAAAGGCCATAAGACGGCTCAATTTTCCGTTTACAAAGCAGAACCTTGTCATTATGCTCCACCAGACAACCAACTACCTGAAAAACTCGATCACCAAATTGAATAAATAAGTTGTGCAAGCATACTTCTTGTCAGGACCAATATCATATTGCAGACATTTAGTAAGGAATGGAATAGCAACTGACAGAAGCTTCTAAAACAAGGAGATATTATCGATTGAAATTTAATATAAAGTAACTGCAGAATGAATACATCAGTTAAGAGTGGTTCATGATCCTGTCTGTAAAAAATATCCAAGTTTGTCATGCTTTCTTGATGGATTCTTTTGTTAATAAGAAACATATCAGATACAATGACACATCTGACATTTCAAGCAGGCAAGAACTTTTATTAATGAAATTAAAGAGAATGATTGAATCTTCCTTGACAATGATGTTAAAACTCCACCATAAGACCAAAGTGAGGACGTTCACATAAAGCAAAAGCTTCAGCCATCATAAGCAACTTTCCCTTCAGATAAGCTTGCAACATCAAGTCCTCTGAAGAGAAAGCCGCTTCAACCGTAGCCTTGTGACTAATCTAGGAACCCAACATGGCAAATTCGTGCCATTTACATACGAGAGACACATATAAGACATGAGCATACGCTGGACATTAGGTGTTATGTCTCTGACAGCTCCTGCCTTCACAGATGGATGAATATGCTGGGAAAGAAGGAAGAAGAGGGAAGAAGAGACACATTCATGAGACTTAAAGAGAAAAACATTAATGTATGTGGGAGGACATATACTTTCATGTTCAACTAATCATTTTGATAACAAAACATATCACAACTACGTAAAGCATCAACATGAGCAACAAATTGCACAGATCATTGATCATACCATTTTGGGATTCTGATAGTGGATTTTCCCACATACCACACAAACCGGTCTTATCTTTTTTTCTCCATCCGGAATAACTTGCTTAGTTGGATTTCCACAGGAATGGCAGAAGCAAATCTTGGGCATCTGAATCTGCAACAATAAAATGCTAAAACGATGAAGTAAGCAGAAGTAAAACAAAAGCCACAAAATGGATCTTGACTTCCAAAACACCAGTCAAACTATCTCCCCCACTATGTTGCCATTAAAATTTAATCCATTTTCTTCCTTCTATCACCCAGTTGTACGAATAACTACGACAATCTGGCTGTAGCTTCAGCATTTACATAAATAGTGTTGCACTCACTAAAGATTAGCATAAAGGAAGACGCCAATTTATATCAATCCATAATTAGTGAACATAAGAAAACGCAATATCTCAAATGCTTGGAGCCTACAAAAACCAATAAAAGACCAAAATTTCCTCCTAATCAAAGAGAAATTCGCATGATACTCACTGCAGGCAGCGCCACGGCGGACCCGAGGGCGGCATCCACATCGGGGCTCGTGCCCGGACCGCCGGAAGACATCCGAAAGGCTCTGAATACACCATGTTGACGAGAATAAGGCACGTCAAGCGGCAATCCTTCAGGAGAGGAGGAAATCCTGGACCAGGAGCAGGAGGCGAGGCCAGAGAAGCGAGGAAGGCATCGGAGCAGGGGCGAGACACCAAATCCGAGCGGGAGGTGGACGGATCTCAGCATCATTTGATGGGTTCCCCTAGTAAGGTTTTAGCGAGAGCTACGTGCCGGAGGGCGGGGGACGGAGGTTCAGGTCGGGCTTCGGACACATCGCCGCCGTGCGACTGGTGGACGTGAAGCGCTCCTGACGCGTGCGAGGGGACGTCGTCCACAGGCTTGAGGTGATCGAGCGATCCTGAGTGTTCGATTATGGATAATACTCCCGTTGGGACCGTTGGATGGAGAGGGGATGATGGAATCCGGTGGACGAGAATTACGGGTTTGATGTGTTGTTGATTCGTTCAAACCATGGAAGGATACTGTGCTCACCAATCTAGCTTCATTCAGGCTCCAGGAAATATAAGTACTCAAAGGACCGCCACGTATTGTTATTATTTCATTAATGAATTATCAAAAACAGTAAATACTCTGCCTATAATTTTTTTATAAAAAATAAATAACGAAAACGAGATTCAAACATCATCATTTCATTAATAAATTATCAATAATAATAAATATTATACTTGTATTTTTATAAGAGTTAATTTGCATTTTAAAAAATTAAATAAAATATTATTTTATTTAATTTATATTATTAAATGCTTTAAACTTAACAATACCTAATAGAAAAATTAAAAAGTTAAATTTCACATCTCTTAAATGTTTAAACATTCACATATGTCGTTCCCAATAATATCCATTCGACCGATATACATATTAAAATTAAATTTATAAGAAAACATACAGAGATAAATGCGTAATTTTGCCTTTTCTATAAGGTAGTTTTCTGGTCAGTCACAGGTGGCTGCTTGAAACCTCTTCGACTCTACCTGACGCTGCCTGTGCTCTGAATCCGCCTGTAGTCAAAACACGTCATAAGGAAGTATACTTCATCAAAGTGAAATTTCACATTCAACCCACAAAATTTCCCAACAAGAATTAGAAGAAATTTGAATCCAATAATCAAATCGCTGAGAAACCACAAATCCACAAATTCAATGCGATTCTTCGTCGTCAATTTAGGCACACAAAAGAAGAAGTCAATTTCCATACCTCATCTCACTCCAACATCGGAGCTCCGCTGCTATCGTCGGAGAGCTCCGCCCCGTCCTCTTCGTTCTCCGGCACCACCACCTCGATGGGCTTTCCGCTGTTGATGGCGTTCTTGTTGTTGTTGTTGTTGTTGTTATCGTCGTCTTTGTTATCTTCCCTCCCGATGATTCGAGCCTCGAGCAGGTGCAGCCTCCGCCTGAGCTCCGCCATCTCCGTCTCCATCAGGAAAAGCCTCTCTTTTAGCGTCAGGTTCTCCTCCTCGAGCTGTGCAATGTGAGCGTCCTGGTCGTCCACCCTGCTAACGAGCAGGTCGGACCCGGAGTCGGTTTCCAGGTCGTGATCCTCTTCCCCGGGGTACACCATCTCGAACCGGCTCACGTCGTGGTCCAACCGCCGCTCCACCTCCAGGTGCTCCTCCACATCGCTCTCGCCCGACCCCTCCTCGTCCTCGTCGTCCTCCTCCCCGCCGGCAGCGGCGGAGGGCCGCGTATCGTGGCAGGTAGGCGATCGGAGCCGGATCAGGCCCTTCATCGACCCGTAACCGTCGACGCCCCACTCCTCCTTGACCATGTCAGCGAGGTCCTCGCGCGTCGGGGAGAGCTTGGGGGTCGGGAGGACCGCTGGCGTCACCGGGTACGGCGAGACCAGCGGCGCGATCCCGCCTGATTTCTTGGCGCGGATGATGAAAGAGGTCGTGTTCCGGGGGGCAAAGGGGGCGAAGCGAGCGAACTTCTTCTTCGGGTAGAACCTGCGCGCCTTGACGCGGTTCTGGTACTGGAGCTCGTGGAGGGTCGGCGGCTTGTAACCGGAGACGCCACCGCCAAGCGGGACCATTCCGCCACCCACGGGCCCCCCTCCCGCCCCACCGGACGCCGCGTTCTTCCGCATGCCGGCAGCTTTCTTACCCTTCCAGTTCATCCGACCCAACTTGGGTGGACCGCCGACGGCAAAGCGCGGGGGAGGCCGAGCGGGGTTCGGAAACCCCATAGGATCCTCCGCCAGGGGCGGCGGCGCCGGCCAGATCCCGAAGCCACGGTTCATCATATACGACGGGTCGTTCATCGATTCCCGACAACAGGTCAAGGAACCCTAAAATCCTTGGCCGCAAAGACGAGGATCAATCTCAGATCGATCACAGAACCAAACTCGACCAAAACCGAAGAGACGAATCAACTCCGATTCGTGACTGCGTCCCAAACCCTAAAGTTCCAGAACGAAAGCGAAAGCGGCAGGAGAAGGAAATGGGATCCGATTCTTCGAGTTAATTCGTCCTCACTTATTCCACCGCCTTCGGTTTATTTATAGAGACGAAGAGGCATCGATTGCCGGGAACGGATTAGATGTACGGTCGTGATTTCGTTCGTGTTGGTGGACGGTTGTGATGGTTTTCTAGTTTGTGACAGCTCACGGTTGGAATCCGAGTTACTGAGTTGACTCGGATGGAAATGGAGATGGCGACATTTTAGTTTTCATCTATTATGAAGTAATATTTTTCATGAGCTTCATGTCATATTTCTTTAAAATTTTAATTTATTTTGAATATTAAGTAAAAATATTTTGAGTGAATTCATATTTTTCATATTTTTAAAAAATCATTTTTTTGAAAAATATTTTTCATTATTTTTCAGAAAAATCTCAATTTATATTAGATTTTGAATCTATTTTGTTTTATTTATAGTGTTTTTGAATAAATATATAATGTTTTGACCTCTATCAAAACACTAAAAGTCTGTTTAAAAATATTATAAATCTTCTATGAATGATATAATCAGATACTACTTTGATTATCTAATCAAAGAAATATTTCAAGAATTATAACGAACAGAAAAAGTCATAAACGAAATATGAATTTTCTCAAAAGAAGTATGCTAACTTGAAAGAAAAGTCAAGATGTTGGAGATGATAGATAATTTTTGAGTGAGGCAGTGTAGAATATAAGCAATCCAATTATGGAAAATATTCTTTGTGAAGGCAAATGTCTTTAATTTTAGGATCTACTCATTCTATAAGTACTCCATCTATCTTATTTTTCAGAGAGAAGAAGAGGTCGAGTGCTTCGGAATTTCTCATAAAAGAAAGAAAAAAAAAAGGGTTTTTAGAGTTTTATGCAAAGAGACATGCATACATGTCTTGTACACCTTCTTGGATGGTGACTTCTAAAGGATGATTGTAAAAGAAGTGCTCCATGGAATTTAGCTGACTGATGCTGATGGTAATAATAAATCAGATGTAATGGAAATCGTGGACTATTCTTCTTTATGTTCTTTATGTTGAATCAGAATTCCAGTAAAGATCAAGAAAAAGAGAGAACTAATGCAACTGAGACAAGTCTATACCATTGCAAGCATGACATGGATATCTATCTACTAGCTTACCAAAATGTTTGGGATGAACCCATAAGGAATCCTTCGTTTGGTCTTCTGACAATATGCATCGACATGAAGGCTGTTGTACACAAATCTGAGCCTCGTCTAAGCTTCCACCTTAAAGTTGTTTTGGTGGTCATCACCTTCATCAGGCCTTCAACCATGGGAGTTCTGGAAGCCTTCTAGTGTGGTGTTTAGAATTCAAATTTACTCTATTCCCAGCAGCCTCAGAGAATCCGGACCGACGAGAAATACACGCTTTGGACCTCGATAGCGAAAAACTACCACTCCTTTATATGCTGTCCTGGGAATTCCATCCTGAAAAAACAGAGGTGATCTCATTCAGATTTATATTGTAAAGCGCAAAGATGTAATGCAATGGAAGTTTTTCTATAAAGCAATATTTTATGCATATGAAAGATGATAAATCAATGGCCAGAACCACTGAAACAGAAACAAAGTAGATATGAAAAGTGAAAATAGCAAAAAGAAAGAAAAAGTAGCAGTAAATGTCTAAAATGATGATAAGAAGTTCAATTCTCCATTTGTTGTTTGAGATGATCTAGTAGGTTCTAGCTTGTGCTGGATTTAATAGAGCCGATTGGTTTTGATACAGATGCTACTCACTATCGAGCTGTAATTGTGGGTCAGTATTCTAAGTTACTTTGTAATTCACATAAGAGTGACAACATGGCAGGATCTTGTATTATAGCCTCCATTGTTGACCAGCAGCATTAAAGGAGATAAAAATATTGCAATTGCTGAGTGCAATTATGATAAAACAATTTGCAAACCAAAATTAGGAAAATCTTAATTTAGATCAACTAATAATTCTTTGATCCTTCCAATTCTTTTGACTTCAGAATAAATGACTGTTACAATTTTTTTTGCCTAGAAGTAGAAACACAAGCTTAAACTACTTTTTGACATTTGAATTGACTGTTCACATGTGTTCCTGATTTCCGGGCAGGTCTGTTTTATGCTTTTAACATCACAACATGCACAATAAGAAAGAGAGATGCTTAGAAGATCACCACATTGATAAACAATTCAACTGATAAAAGAATAACAATGACAACATCATAATTTTAAATGTTCTGTAATCATCTCCCGGTTCCTACAGATGTCCTGTATATTTTTCTTTGTTTAGACTGATACTTATGGGAATCACTCCTAATAACAGTAAGAAATCAGCAAAAGTTATATCTGGATGTGGAAAAACATGTATATCAACCAAGTTCAAATATTGAAAAAATCAAAACTCCTATCACAAATTGGAAGAAACAGTGTCATCTTTATACCAAGGCACCCAAAAATTTATAAGCAACTATTTATGGATCAAAGATAATCCTTATCTAAATGTTTTCAGGTGATGACCAATCAAGTGAAATTGATAGGAAAGAGAAATTGCCTTCCATTCTTCAAAAATTCCAAATTGTCGGGCTATGTGTTCAAAGTGCCGCTGGTCATTATACTGGATTCTTATATCACTATCAATATTATTTGCCTTCAAAATAAGATCAGATTCTCGAATAGGTCTGGCGTTGGAGACCATTTTGGCAAAATATTTCAAAAAATTTTCCTGTCAAAGACCAGAAAGAGATACAGTTAGAAGTATGTGTATATGCCTGCCCATAAGTTGTCGATTAATTACTAAACCAGATTTAAAGAAGGCCCTGGAGAAAGTTTGGGACATCTTTCCTTTGACCAGGTCCATTTTCATCCATAGAGATGCTGAAGCAAATATAAGACTGAATAAAGAAATTGTATTACCTCCATCAAAAAAGTCAGATTAGAAGACTTCCAATCGACCTAATACAACAATTCACATAAAAATTTATTCCAGATAAGAAGTATGAGGAGGTATACAAAACCCAAGATCAAGCAACTTTATACCTACTTGCACATCATTCAGTTTAATAGGCTCCAAATATTGTCTAAAAAACTGTCCCATGCTAGAGCCCTGAAAAGAAAACAAGTAGGTGAAGAACTAACTTTCACAAGCACTAGCAAAAAAAGAGAACAAACAGGCAGACGTGAGTATTTTCATGGCAGTATTGAGATTTTGTATTGGCAGCAACTTCATTATCAATGTTTATAAGCAATTTCTATCGTTCAATCGTGTTAAACTATCATAATGAGATTAAAAAATCAGATAATATTATGAGAAAATACAGAATTAATATCTCTTAATGGCATGAGTCACCTTCTTGATAAAAAAGAGCATCCACAAAATGCTAATCACAAATATTGGCTTACTTACATGCTCGCCAAAATTGTATGTTCTGCAAACTTCTGGACGAATAAATTGCCGATCTTTGTGTACCTCATTTAGTCTCACCCAGTCATCCCAGTAAGTAAAATTATGTCAAGGAAAAATAAACCAAGAAAAATATGTCAATTTTGAGTAACTGAAACATAGTGTTATACACAAGGATATGCATTAGGCCACTTAGGTGATAACTCATCCCATATAGTTTTTGTTAACATCCATCCAAGACCAGGAAAAAAATCTGATCTGTAAAGAGCATCTGCAAAATACATTGAAAAAAAAAGTGGATGTAAAACATAATCAACATGCCAAAATTAACCTCAGAATGCTTTCACTCTAACTGATATGAAAAAAATCAAACACATAAATCTTGTCAAATGGCTAAAAGAACTTGCTTAAAAAAGGACTTACAAGAATCATGAACAAACTGTTTTTGTCCATTGTCATTCCATGAGGAAACAGCCATTATTGATCTGCAAAGTTAATTGTGATGTAAAATAATTAGATGAGATGAATAATTTAAAGTTTTAAACATATGAGTGAATGGGGTGGGGGGCATACTTATCCTTGTCAAGTAGCGCAGCTGTGGCTTCAAAATAGTCAAAAAAATCTGGGGCAATCTCCATGTCATCTGTTTGGTGAGAGAATATTTTTTAATGGATTTTACCCGAAAAAAAAATAGATACAGAAAACGGAAAAACATGAAACCAACAGTAAATAGACGACACCTTCCAATATAATTACTCGACTGAAATTGTGGTTGAAGAATAATTCATCCAAAGCCCATTTATAGTGTCCTGAAATAATCCATGTTCCTAGCTAAAAACTAAGTCATAACTCATAACTAGAAAGATTGGAGAGACGTGACACTTACTAGCAATCTTGTAATAGGCGATTAATTCTCCAGGTCTTTCTGTATGTATTGGTTCAAAATCTAGATGCTGCAATTGCAATCACCCATAGCATTAGAATTCTCTAACACTGACTGCAATATGCCACTCACCATATAGTCAAACTAGATTATAATTCTGTAAGGTAATACAAATATGTATCAGATATATTTTTCTAGACCATGACATATAAAATAAAATAAAAACTTGCTTATGTTACAAAAACATCTTATATAAGCAACAGAATCAACTGTCTAACTTGGCAAAAAAAGATAAACACAGGAATCTTTTCATTTATCACCATTCTAATGTCAAGTATATTTAATGTTGAACAGCATTTCAAGGGAAAACAAGTTTCCATGTGAATCTATTCAAAATACTGGCTTCAATCTCATGGAACCAGCTGCAAAAACCTTAAGCATATTGTATCCTGGCTTTCATTTAGAATGTCTACTGTTAAAAGAGATCTTATTGCAAGTCATTGGACAATTAGAACATCTAAAAGCATAGTCTTTTTCACAAATGTCTTGGAAGACGAGTGCCAGATGATATACTATACATAATTATTATCACTAGGACCTTTTCAAATTGATGTATAGTCACCAGTTGAACAGCAAATCTAAACATTAAATCACTCTTTAGAGGGCTGCAATGGAACTTTATATCTGGAAGTTGTCATGACATAGAACTGGCCTAAATTCCAACCAACTTAATTTGACAAAGCGCAAGCTTTCCATAGAACTCAGCCATTTGGGATATAGGAACATGCCCAAACATTATCTTACTACTTAATGAAACTTCAAAAACAATTATTCCATTATTGGATGTAGCGCCATTAGCAAAACAACTTCAAAGATCCCATCATTCTACAGGATGCTTAGATGACACAATAAGAAAGAGTTTGCATTTTAAACCTGCATATAAGTTAATTGGTTGTAACTCATAGCTTTACTTTTAACATCCGAATTTGTTCCATCCTGCGAAACAAAGCAGGACTATCAGATGCTAATCATCAGCAAAACAATTTTGTGAAGAAAAAGGGACCGAACATGCATACCTGCGATACAAATAGTGGAAATTTTGTAGCAATCGATCTCTGATACCTGAGAAACATGAATTGATTATTCATTAGTTGTCTTATCATATGACTATTTTCTGGAGAACTGAAAATCAACAACACTAATCCTTTTTTATTTAGAACTAAGAAATTATTATATAACATACTTCAAGACAGATTCTATTGTCCTCTCAAGATAGTCAGGTCGATTGCAAGCCATTATAACAACAGCTGCTACAGGTACCTAATATAAGGACAAAGGATGAAGAAGCAAAAGGCAAGACTTAATCAGTTCTTTGCATCAGTTAAAACACGATGTAGAATATCTAAGCAATTTTACCTCATGTTTTCCTATCAAGTTCTGTAGATTCTTTGCTGCAACCAACATTTATAGAGTTAGAAACATAAAGTGCATGCTCATGCACTAGAAGGAAAATCATCCTATGATTAGACCACAGAAAATCATATTTATACATGAAATACAAGGTTCTCCACTTCTCCCACAGCTTCTTCGCAGCTTCATGGCCCTAAACCAAAAACTTGATTTTCAGGATAATTATTTATAACAGTAAAGAACTGAACCAGCATGATTTGTGATTAGATGGCTAGTCCAGCCTTATTAAGTACTGTTTAAAGCAAAGTTTATAAACTCGGGCATAATGCCAACACCAATGGAACACCAATGGATGGTCAGAGTGGTACAGCTCTTGCACAGACCTACATATTGACAATCGATATAAGTCAGTGCTGCCTGGATGGGTAAATACGGATAAGTACAGCTTGTTCTAATCTATCACGATCCGAGTCGGATGGGCTAACTGACCTATCAACTTGGTTTGACTCAAACCACTGACCAAAATGCTTAAGCTGAAATTGATAGTAGTACACTTATCATACCCTCATAAGCCAATTTTAGTCTTGCCTCCAATGTGGGATTAATCAAGGGTGTTACAATCACCACCACTCAAGGGCTTGATGTTCTCGTCAAGGCCCAACATAGCCCAAATCAAACCCTAGCATTGTGCATGTGAGGCGTAGCCCGGTGGTGGCTCTACGCCGTGACAAGTTCTCTGACTTCATCCACAAGTAGTCCTTTCCTACCCGAGTCCCCTCATCATGCCCAAATACTAGGTCGCCTCTGATACCAAATGTCACGATCCAGGCTTAATGAGCTAACTGATCTATCAACTTCGTTTGGCCTAAACCACTAATCAAAATGCTTAAGCTGAAGTTGATAGTAGAACACTTATTAGACCCTTATAAGCCAATCTTAGTCTTACCTCCAATGTGGGACTAATCACGGGTGTTACATAATCAGTTCTCTGATACTTGGTTTAAAGGTCCTCCAACCCTCCATCCCCTCTTCCTTTCTAGCACACATGGTTATCTGATTTTGATTTGATGTCAACTTGCATTTTTAACCAATGATATATGATCAAGAAAAGTGGTGTCTCAACCTAGGATGCTAAGTACAAGCATCAAAGAATTACTGACATATCTCTATTCATAAAATTAGTGTTCCAAAAATCAATTAGACAGGTTTGTACCATCCGATATTATTCAGTCCAACCAATGACCGGCACCTAGGCTGAGAAATTGTCCAGTTTAAAAACATTTTTTTTTAATTTTTACAACGACAACTATCTCTCTTTTACTTGCCCCCAAGTCATCTCTCTCACTGCACCACTCGTTGCCTCATTGCTGCTAGTTTCCTCCATCTCATTGCAACTATCTCTCTTCTCCTCCTCTCCTTGTCTTGCTACTTGCCTCTTGTCTCCATCTTTCCCTTTGGTCCATGCCAATCAGGACAGCATTGTACCATATATTGGTAAACCAGTAGGTACCACACCCATGCTAACCTAACCAGAGACCAATTCAGGTCCAAATCAAAATTTAAAATCCCTACGTAAAATGATTATTTAAAGTTCTATTTAAGATCGTTATAATGATTATTTTTATAAAGCTCATGAAAGATCAGTTTACACCCATGCAAAATATAAAATATGCAATTGCAACAAGCTCAATAATTAAAGTCCCAAATGAATAATATTAAGATATTTAAGAAAAATTCGAGTATAAAATACAACATAAATGATGGAAATAAAGTTTTTTTTTGTGTAGTCGAACCAACTTTTATACATAAATACCAATTGAAAGACTAGAAAGTTCTTGTAAAGGCATACTTTTAAGATCTCGAAGTAGGGTCTTCAGTTGTGCACTTTCTTCATCTTTAAGTTTGTTTGCTTCTGATACATCAACAACAAAATAGAACTCAAAATTTGCATAAACAAAAAAAATTCTTTTCTGACAAGAAACATATAGGTTACACTCCATATTCATTCACAATTACATGGTACTAAACAAAACAAAGTACAGCATGTTGACAGAAAAACAACTCTCAATGCTGAAAGAAATCAAGTGCTTCCACACTGCTGCAATTTCATCAGAAAGATAAATATAATTCAGGGGGCGTCATATACTGATCCATGTTTTAGTAAACAAAATTTAGAAAAATGATAATTGTTAAACCAAAAGAGAATAAATCAGATATAGAGAACCACCGTAGCTTTTTACTTGAGGTCCCCCAATCACTAGAAGGATCTATAAAGATGAACATAATCATTTCTTTGATATGTACTACAGTCACTACATTTTTAACAATGACTTGATATTCCCAACCAAGTATTCTGTTTCTAAAAGCCTTCAGAGGTTCACTTAGGCCCTGACCTAAGTGCCATTTCCATATACCTCTATTGTGTCATCCATATTTTTGATGTAAAATAAATGCACTGCAAAAGCAAACAACAATAACAATAGATGACAGATGTACCAAGTGCAAAAACTGCAGATAAAATACCACATAGTAATATTGATACAGCATATCAGCTTTACTTGTAAGTAATACAAACACAACGGATATCTGTATATGAAATCCACATGAACAGTGAAGGTTGTTGAATTTTTTATGGTTACAGTATATTTCAAGTTACTAAGCTTACTGTTTTAACACTTATGTGCCTTAATTGGTGTCATCTACATTATCTACACAATTTCGGTAAGAAAGAAATCTAGTTGATGTAAATATAGATATGCACCTTCTAAGGTAACAATTTTCCCTTGTTGCATGCTTATCTGATCAATCAACAAGCGCATTTGACTTGTGCACTGATTTTCAGATTCCACCTGTCAACAAATTCACCATTCACCATTAGCCATGATTATGGGACACAACAGGCAAGTATATCATCTTACATGCACATATTTCAAGTTCAGTGAAGTAACCATATATCTTTCGTGCCTCCAAGATTAGCAAATTGATATTATTGAAAATCTTTAGTTTCAATCGATGCATAATATAGTGAAAAATACAATGAAATGACTTCCACCACATATGAAAAGAAAATAATAGTATACAAGAAGACGAACTCAGTACATGAGGCACCAACCAATGCCCACATATATCAGGCATCAAAAATGTATATATGTATAATAATGTATAAAAGGGTGATCTTAATGCACCAAACCCCCGCTAATGCTAGGTCTTGAAAAGGTTAATAATCATAATTGTCCTACAGATAGGGACGTTGTATCCATGACTTGAACTCTGACCACCCAAGTTGCAAGGGAGCAACTTTACTATTGCATTAAGGCTCACCCTTTTATATAATACTACATAAAAGATGAAGTCAAATACCCTTTTATATAATACTACATAAAATGAAGGTTGATAGATGTAATTGACTTAGAAATATGCATAATTAAACAGAACTTGCAATTTAAGTAAGTTACATTGCACTACTCACCGCAGCAGCCAGGCGATCTGCATACTCAGATTGTGTTGCAAAAAGGCGCACCTAAAACCAATGAATGATCATTATAATTTTTTAAATTAATTGCACTATATTGACATGGACAAATGGTGTACTTTCAAAGTGTGCATGGCACAATTCACTAGGAACATATATACACGTACAACTATACGTTGCATTAAAAACAGATTAATAACCTTAAAAAAAATAGAACAGATATCTACAAGTAAACTAGTAAAATGCAAATCATTGATCTTGGATTCAAGTTCGCAACATGAATTTGCAAATATTGGGACATCGGTAACAATAAGTTCAAGTAGATCCAAATAAGTTCAATCATACTAAGAATGATTGGAAAAAAATGAAAATCACATACAAAATATTGTGAATTCTGATACACAAACAAGGAAAGAATATTGACAACTCAGAGCGGCACTAATGTTAACATTTCCCACTTGGACGAAATATTCCTAACTCTACTAGAGCCACCATGTTTCTTTCCCCTATAACGGTGCCTTTATTCTTCAGTATCATAGATTCTCTGCTTAGAATGCCACCTCTTCATCATTTTGGCTAAATGTCCTTTAGCCCCAAATCAGTTTAACGCAACTTAAATTTGTTTACTTATTTCCATGCACGTAATTTGAATATAAATTCCAAATCTTGAACAACTCGTCAACACAATTTATAGCCAAAATCGAGGTTTCCAACTTTTTTCTTGCCCTAACATGCTATAAGAACGTCGTTTGCGAATCCAAATTTCCAAACTACACTACACTGGGTCGAGAAGGATACTTTCCCCGGCATAACATCGTCAAGAACAACCAAAGGGGCGAATAGCAACCCGAGATCAGTACCAGAAAGGCCAAGGACGGAGCAGAAGTAAAGGCACCTGGATGAAGATAAAAGCTGCAGCCGCGACGACAAGAAGGATCCGGATGTCGCAGAAACTCTTCCCCATCGTTCTTGGACCGAATTGGCAGTAGAGGAAGCTGCGATCTCCCCGAGACGACTTGCCTGTATTCGACCTCGACACTTCGGCTCGAAGGCTCGATCTAGCGAGACTTCTCGGTCCCCGATACCACGGCCGGTCGTTGGAGACTACGTCGCGGCCACAGCGTGGTCTAAATAAATCGGGCCGGGTTCGACTCATTGTCCGAGAACTCAACCCGAGTCCGTCCGAATTATGTCGGGTTGGACTCGAACCAAACCGCCGATTAATTTGCCGATCAGCCAACTTAATGGTGAAGCTATTAACAAAATCATAATAAAAGTTAGCATCCGCACGTGCTTTGCATGTGAAATTAGGCAAATTGGGTTATTAGATTCTCTTCAGCTCCGCCTCAGCAACGAATCCCGAGTGGTCGACTCGGTGCTGCAACACATTCTCAATATGTATATTCTTTGTGGATATCACATCGCATGAGAGAAGACATGGATAATACTTGTGGAATTCTGATCACTATTATCAAATACAACTTTCAAGTACAGGATTTTGGATTTACTTCCTTTCGATTGAACTCTCATCACAATGAACAGAGAACAGAGGACACTCAAAAGATGGAAACAGATAAATCTACAGACAACAGCTTAAATGCAAGGAAGAAACTGAGCCTAATGTTTGCATCTGATCAGGTGGATGTTTCATTCAAAAGTACACCAGAAACCTGCTTGAATAATTTCAGATAGTAATTTAGTGAGTACAAACCCTGCAATAAGCACTTCATCATGGGAACAATGTAGAGTTGTTCAAAGGATAAATCAGCTCAAACAAAACAACAGTATGTCAACCTATCATGCCATAGCTTTTTCCTGGATGGAAAGGGCTAAAACTCCCTGGAATGTCCATATTTTCCATCAATTGATCCACCCCTGGATACAACAATTTCAAGTTAAAGACAAGTTGTATATTAATGTTCGGCAGTCAAAAAAGAATGGCAGATAAAAATCAACTTACTCTGGCTCGATAAAAAATTTTGGTAGGACATTCCACCAGATTTTGAACTCTCATTTGATCCATGTGTTCCTAGAGTTTGATTTGACTCTGGGCCTAATGGATGAAGTGCATTGCTTACTTGGGCATTGTGGATGGGATAATTATCTGTTCCGACAAGCTGGTCTTCATGAGGGGGTTCGTCTGACTTGAATATCTTGAAGTTTGGGGATTCACAATCTGTGTCAACTTCATATTCGTTATTACTTGGTGCTGTTTGCTTCCGCTTCGATCGCGCCCTTCGGTTTTGGAACCAGTTATAGACATTCATTTCGGAGATCTGACCATGCAGTGACAGTTCAAGAGTGATCTCTTTTATCCTTTGCTTGCTTGGAGTCCCATTACCTTGATCAAAGATATTCTCGAGCATCTGTAGCTGCTTAGTTGTTGGACACCACCGCTGTCTTGGAATCATTTTATGGCCTCCTGATGCCATCATGGATTCACAGTAGCCGCTTCCAAGCTTCAATCCTAGAAAAGCAACAAAGAATTACACAAATGCTATCATAGATAAAATTCTCCTCAATCAACATAAAATGACATATTAGATGGGTGCTTGTTTCGCTAAACAGGAATATTGAGTGAAATCTGAGTAGGGTGCTTTCTTGCTCCTATCTCGAGTTTTGGAACATGATCAGGTGGCGAACCCAGTGTCCGAAGTTCCCACCACTGCAAGGTCTGGGAAGGACCAATGTACAATCCTTACCCCCACTAATAGAGAGATTGTTTGTAGCATGAGAGGTGAAAGTCAAAATAACACAAAACTCGAGGGCAAAAATTGAATGGACCTTCTGCAATACATTAACAACCTGAGCAACATAGTTATGCTATTATACTTGCATATCCTGACACTTCGAAACAAAGTCACCTGCAATAGTCTTAGACAAAGAATCGACAAAAATCAAAATTTTTGCAACACATATCATCTCACAAACAACAGGAGATCATCACAATCTTGTTCTCCAAGTAGCAAGAATTATTCATCCTACATTGCACGAACGTGATCAAAATAAATGCCACACATCTACCGATGTCTTATCAAATCACAGCTAAGCACACATGAACTTTCAAGAGTTAGTTCAATCCTATTCCTACCGAGCAACCTTAAATCCTTGCTGGTAAGTTTAATTCCACTAAACTGGAGTTTTCTACTTGCTACTGCATCCACATAGTTCATCTGAGATGCCTATTTTGTCAATCCAATATCCTTCATGGCAAACAATCAAAGTCGGTCCTTTTTGGAACTTCTTTCATACTCCAATTTGCTATCAAAGGAAAAAGGTAATCTGCACTAAAATTAAAATCTTACTCCATGAATCTGGTAGATAGTTAATCGATGGTTTCTGAGAACATTATACGGTTTATGAAGAACAACTACGATATCGTAATCAGTCAAAATGCCAACATTGTGATTTTAACAAAGAAGACCAAATGCACATAGTGGCTTGTATGCTAATACTACCAACTAGAAAGCAAACCAGAACTGTGAGTTAGGATAATTGGGATAACATCGCCAACAGTCCAGGCTTAACAATGCATCAAGGAAGTGGGTTTAGAGATAACAGAGTAGTGTATCCAAGAAAGTTCTGCATGTAATGGTTTTCAAAGCCTCTACTCATTTTACGCTTCCAAGTTAGTGAGACCTCGATATTAACCATATCGATAATCCATGGCAACCGTGAAGCATAAGAATCATCTACTAAGTGAGCAATCGGCTCAGCTTTGGATAGCAAAGAGGAACAGTTGATCGTAGATGCTTAATCCTTAATTGGGAAGAAACATGAAGTTAATATGCAAAAGGTAGACAAGAAGACGCGTTCTGTAGACTAGATCGAGACCGAAAGCCCAAGAATTGGAAGAGAAGGGTTCTCTATAGACGCCCTTTTTCTCTATCCAAAATTCCCCTCTTTCCAAGATTTTTGTTTTGGTCTCTTGGGAAAGGCGAAGAGGAAGGAAGAAGATACCTGCGAGGGAGTCCTGGTCAGCGGCGAAGGCCCTATGCATCTCCACGAGCTGCTCGCAGATGGTGGCGTAGACGGCGATCTGACGGCGGAGCACCTCAACCTGCTCGTCCGTCATCACTTTCACGCACAGAACCCCTTCCGCCACCCTATCCCCCTCTCCTCTTTCCTCCCCAATCTCGCTGCTCCTGGTGCCGTCGGCTCCACTGTCCGAAGCATCTTGCCGCTCCATTTCCTCACCTCTCTCTCTCCCGCATCAAAGTCCCGCCTTTTTCGTTCCAACCGCTCGCCAGCGTCGCCACGACCGCGAGCGAGGAAAGAAGCAGCGTCGAAGGTTTTTGGAAACAGGCGCAAAGCGCACAGAGGGAAGAAGACTTGCGTTGAAGGAAAAGTAGAAGCAGCCGACCGCCTGTTAACTCGTGCGCCTATTCCCGGACAGCCACCTTTAGTCCTTTCTCCCGGTAGATACGGATCTACGTATACGTTGGCTGACTCTTATCCGGAGCAACAACTCTTCTGCTACCTGCTTAAGAGTTACTCACCAGACACCTGCCACGTGATTCAAGAGTTCGATCGGGACCCACACGAACAGTGACCTCTCCGATGACAACGGGTAGGTTCAGAACTGTTCCACAAGCAAACAACTCGTGGGGGCGGCGCGGACCGCAGGAGCGTCGTGACTTGGGTCGTACAGTCGGTGGTGGGTGTGGAATGGGGCCACGTGGGCGACTCATTATTTGTTGCTTTACATAATTAATCTCAGGATTTGAAGTAATTTTTTGCTTCGAATTGTTCCACATATGGTTAAGATATAATTTCTTTTTTTCGTTATTTTATGTTTCATTTATAATAGGAAAAACACACAATCAGGGAGTTGTTGGCACCCCAATTCACCTGCTAGTCATTGCCAACTAGCATGTAGCAATATTGATGCAGTGTGTATTATTATGTTTTCAAGTTTTAAGATAATAAATTTTGAATTTAATCATATCAATTTTTTAAAAAATAATTTATGTCTTAAAATAATTATAAAAATAAAAAAATATGAAAGTATAATACATCATAAATTCAATATGTATTATAATTTATGTTTGAGTTTTAGTAAATTATGACTCATTAATTAGGTGATTGAGAGATTCAATGTACAATGCATCTATATAGGGAAGAGAAGAAGATTAGTGGAGGCATTCTAGTTTTCAAAATATTATTAAATTTTTATATTTTGAGCTATTAACTCTTAATATATCTTGAAATAGAGAAAGTATTTTTGTATATCTCACTCTTTATTTCTCTTTTGCTTTTGTTTAACATCAGGTATTAGATATATCAAAATCATCATCAACAATCCAAAATAGCACTTAAAGAGATAGAAGAACAACTTGTTATAAGATATGTCGATGACAGTTATGATTTAAGATGACAACTATGAAGGTTATATGATACTTATTAATTAGCATTTAAAACTTATTAGATATAGAGCAAAAAAGTATTCTAATATTCTTTTATATTTCTCATCTAAAACTGATTCTACTTGTTATAATATTAATAGATTAAAAACTAGTGAAATCATAAAAAATATATCTAAACTAACTTTGACCAAGGAGCATAATCTAGTCACACCAATCACCCTCCTAATTGCTTTAAATGTAAACAAGTATGATACTATATGAACAAGTGCCCAAATAGACAAGCTAATCCATGAGTCAACTTTGCTAAAAAAGAAATTATCAATAAATAATTTGAAGATATTGGAAAACCAAAATATGATAAATATCCCGAGGAGGCTTATGAAGAAATTGTACCGGAAGATGATGAATGCTTGGTAATCCATAGAGCGCTTACTATTTCAAAATATGATTCTATTGAAAAATGGTTATGACATAATGTTTTAAAGATACGTGTAAGTCTCAATATAAAGTTTGTTATCTTATTATTATATAAAATCATATCCTAAGTTATATTGGATTGTATGATTCAAGAAAAGTAACGAGGTATCAGTTATTAATTGACACATAGTTCCTTTTTCGATGGGTAAAAATTAAAAATACGATATGTCGATAGACAAAAATTATAAATATGATATGTTATGTAATATAGTACCAATGGATATTAGTCATATTTTGGGAAAACCATAACACTATAACATGTATGGTATCCGTGAGGGTAGAAAGATTACTTATACTTTAAATTCAATAGAGTTAAATTTATGCTTTTGTGTTGGAAAGAACAATTTGCTCTCAAACTTTTAACCTAAAGGAAAGAAAACAATTTATTACTTTAAATAAGTTTATAAGAGAAAGTTAAAAAAAGTGAAGTTATATTTATGTTAGTCGCTAAAGATTGCCTGCATCCTATAAAAATTTCATATGAAGTAAAAGCTATTTTAGAGGAATTCAATGGCCTCTACTTTAAATAACTTTGTAGTGGTCTACCTTCTTTTTTAGATATTCAACATCGAATCGATTTAATTTCAAAAGCAATATTGTCAAACAAATCTCATCATCAAATGAGTCTAAAAGAACAAAATAGACAAGTTATGAATCTACTACATAATAATTATATTTGAAAAAATTTATATGTGTCATTCTAGCTCTATTGATTCTAAAAAAGGATTAAACTTGATAGATGTGTATCGACAATTAAGCTATCAATTGGATTATCAACAAATATATGTTTCATATTCCACGTGTGGAGGATATATTTGATATGCTTGCTGGGGCTAAAATTATTTTCTAAAATTGATCTGTAAAGTAGTTTTCACCAAATCTATATTAAACCATAAGATGAATGAAAAATTACTATTAAAACTCAAAAAGATTTATATGAATGATTAGTTATGTCATTTGGTCTTTCAAATACTCCGAGCATCTTAATACGAATGACAAATCAAATTCTACATCCTTATATTAAAAAGCTTATTGCTATTTGCATTGATGATATTCTTCTTTATAATCATAATAAACTTAACTATATTGAACATTTGAAAACTATCCTATTAACTTTGAAGCCAAAAGAGCTATATACAAATCTTAAGAATTGCTCCTTCATAACCTCATATCCAAGTAGATTATGAGAAGATTAAAACTATCCAAGCTTGATCAACACTAATATCCATATACGATGTTTAGAGTTTTCATAGGTTGACAACCTTCTATCATTGATTTATTCGAAATTTCAATACTATTATCAAATTATTAAAGGTGAAATTATCCATTGCTCAAAGTTTAATAATACAATAAAGAACTATTTAATTTATAATATTAAATTTTATGTTATTGTTTAAGTACTCCAACATTGGAGACCTTATTTAATCTAAAGAGAATTTGGTTTAAATTCTTAAAAGAAAGCTCTTAAATATATAATATTATTAGGTAAATCTCAATAGGTGATATGCAAAACGAGTGATATTTTTACAAAAGCATACTTTTGTCTCTAAGCATAAGAATGAAATATATAATAAGATTACAGATACAATTGGTGATTGATGCTTCTTAACATTATGTATGCCCAATTAAAAGGATTTGATATAATAAGAAATACTTACTCTAAGGATTATGTATGCCCAATTTATAATAATTTTTTTTCATAAAACTTAATTTTATATTCTTAAATATTATTTAAGAGAGCATATTATCCAAGAGCTATATTCTGACATATTAGGAGGTTACTTTAGGAGGTACAAAACAATCCTTCTCATCAAAACTAAATATTTTTGACCTACAATCTACCGAGATATTGCACATTATATAAAAAGATATAAAATATGTCAAATTTTAAAAGATTAATCTTCCAATCTTGGTATATATATATATTTATCAATTCCTAATGTTTCTCAGGAAAATATATTAGTATGAATTTTATGATTGATCTATCAAAAAAAAAAAAAAAAACAGATTCTATTATTCTTAATCGATTTTTTAAAATGACACATTTTATTCTTTAAAAAAGACCATCCTTTTTATATTGCTAACATATATTTTAATGAAGTGATCAAACTTGATGGAATTCCTAAATCTATCACATGATACTAAATTTCTTAATATTTTTGAAAAAAATTATGGAAGAAATTTAGCACCAACCTATTATATAATAGTGTTTATCATCCTCAGATGAACAAATTAAGATTATTAATAGAACCTTTGGGGCTATAACATTTCACTACAAAAAGATCAAAACAATGAGATCTCATCCAACCTTTTATAAATATGTGATTAATCATTGTATGATAAAAGTTCATTAGAGATTATTTATGATCGTCTTTCACCTCATCATCTAGATCTTACTAAAATACATGAATCACTTTTATCAAATTCAAAAAAAAAAGATTTTATTATTATCATGATAAAAATTTATAAAGAAATAAAGAAGTTTGAAGTTAACAATCAAATTTATAAAAAAAAGACTAACAAGTATTGTCGGATGAAGATATTTGAAGAAAGAGATCTTATTTGGGTCTTTTTGAAAAAAGAATATCTTCTAACATAAATTTATAATAAACTTAAAAAAAAAGAAAAATCAATCTCGATCGAGTTTCTAAGAGAATTAATAATAATTCTTATCAGATTGAACTTCCTTCCTCTTGAAGTTCACACTCACTCCACATTTATTTAACGTGCAAGAGTTCTTTCTCGCTTGGAGAGAGTGAGAGACTTTGAGAGCATTGAATGCTCCAAAATGTCAAAATAATAAATTTAAAGTTTGATCTTATCAAATCTCAAAAAAATTATTCGTCAATTGATAAAACTATAAAAACATAAGATCATTAAAGTATTGTTTTTTAGTAAATTATGACATATTAATTAAGTGATTGAGAGATTCAATATATAAGTAATCTATAAAAGCAAAATGAAGAAAGATTGATGAAGATCTTTTAGTGAATAAAATCTCATCAAAGTTTTATATTTCAAACTATTAACATAAACAAGTGTTCAATTATCATAAGCATGTAAAGTTAGTCTATGAGATGAAGAAAACCAAGAACTAGAATTACCGGTCTCGAGGAACCCAATAATAAGGGCAAAGTTAGTCTATCAAATGAATAAGCAGAATCTTCAGTACAAAACCTTCCACATATTGGGATGCCTAACTAAAAAACTACACGATGTTTTAGTTGACCATGCCAAGAATGCTTTGGATATTCTAAACAACAGGTTAGTGTTCATGACAAGTCAATATTAAATAATCAACCACAGAAAAGCTTGGAGCAATAGTTGACAGCAAGCAGTGGAAAAGCATGTAAACAACTACTGGTAATTAGTTCATACACTATTGGAATACTTCAAGAAATTTCTGAGGAATCTTGCATGTTACTTGATGTGTAAAATACTCAGTGGAATATGCTCTGAATGATGTTACCAGTAATTTGCTCTTCATAACTACTTGTTTTCACTCGAATGATTGAAGCTCACGAAGAGTTGACAAGTCACTGACAGAAACATCCACTTCTTTTCCCTTATCCTGCAAAGCAAATGAGTTAATTTCTCACTCTATCTCCAGATGATGTTGGAACTGTCTCACCATATCCCACGATTGCAGATGAAATCATGTTCATCCAGGTCTTGTCTCCTGTCAAATTATGCATTACTAGTTCATGTAGCAAATAAATGAAAGAGAATCTGAAAAGCTGCAGAAACCAGCAGATCAATGAGACACATACTCAGAACAGATGGCAAAGCCCTCTGCTTTACACTGGCCTTACCTAATGGAATCTTGTAAGAGTATTATTCTACAGCTCATATTGGGGTAAAAAGACTGAAATGTCTAAAAAGTTCAACAGTAAGTAAACCAATGATTAGCCAGCAAAAACTACAGTAAGTAGCACATCAACCAAGCATAATAATTCACATGTAGATAGTGAGCAAGGGAATGTAAGAAACAGATATCATGTCACCAATAATTACTGAGCCAACCTGATAACCAGGACCTCATTTTATCATATCAATCAATCACATACATGTTATTCCTTTCAGCTAGGACAACTAGTACCACTAACATCATATCATGCAACCAAATTTGGCACTCATGGATGACAGATGAACAATAAGAAAGCAGAGAGAATCTGAACAATGGATAAGAACAGGCCCACCTGGCATCAAATTGGCTTCAGCCAACACCACTCAAACAAAAACAAAACAATCTTTTGAGCCAAGTAATACCACTAACCCAATTCATGCCACCAAAATTGTCACTCATGGATGACAGATTAACTACCATAAGAAAGCACAGGGCACAACTGAACTGTTTCCATTAAACAATTGAGTTAGGGCAACTAACACAACCAGTACCATTTCATGCCACCAAATGTGGCTCACTCATGGATGAGAACCAACACAGGGCACAGAGAACCACTTCAACAATCAATAAAATACCTGATTAGCTTGAACTAACACCATCTTTATCAAAGCCACTAACATCAACAACAACAGTTCATGCCACCAAATTTGCCACTCACGAATGACAGATGAACTACCATGGCAATGCAAGAGAATAACATCAGCAACGGATAAGAAGAGGTGCAATTGGCTACAAATTAGATTGAGCTGGATGGAAGTAAGTACATGTTAGTGATGAACAGCCAAAGACATGGCATGGCCAAAATAGTAGTGTCTTGAACAATCTACTAGAATTCTTCCCATTCAAATAGAAACTAAAACAAAAGCCAAAAAGTGGAGAAAAAAGCAGCACACTGCACTGTAGCTTCTAAGCTCCTCACTCATCATCCTCTTCCTCCTGTTTCAAAAGATATCAAATTAGAAGAATTAGTATAATTTTCCGTGGAGTGGACAAAATACAAACTCTTTTGATAATTACAAACCTCTTCGGTTCCCTCTTCTTCCTCATCATCATCATTCACCTCGGATTTAGATTTGTCAGACTCATCTTCATCAGCAGCAGCATGACTTCCTCCATCAGACTATTTGATCATCCAACAAGAAGAGAAAAAGTTAGCTAATCGATTTACAAAATGAATAAAACAAGGTAAACAGATAAATCGAAAGATGTGTACCTGATTCTTATTGTATGCAGCAATTTTCTTGGTATAATCCGTCTTCAACTTAGCCGCCTTGGCCACATAGGGAGCCTTCTCCTGGAATCATCACATATCTTTCTTTTAGATCATATCTCCAAACTGATCTAATTAAGGAGAAACAAACTGGTAAAAATTACTTACAGCTTCTGACAAGGATTTCCACTTGTCTCCTCCAGCTTTACCAACCTATTTAGATCAAAAATATAAATTAAATCACATCTCTACAAAGAAAACTCGTATTTATGAGTAGAAGTATTTGTTGAGGAGAGATGAAATTTAAGAAATTTACCACAGAGACCGACTTGTTATTCGGGTTCTTTTCCTTGAAGGACTTCCTGAACTCTTCCCTGACGATTCAAACAAGCAAGATGTCTTTGAGCCCAAATATTAATAAAGCGAAAAATAAGAAGGAAGAGGCATGCAACAAATAGGAACTCACATGAAGACGAAGAAGGCACTCGGAGGCCTCTTGGGTTTGTTGGGATCCTTGGCGGCCTTCGTCTTCCTCGGCTTCTTAGGCGCCCGTTCCCCACCCTTCTTCACCGAAAGCCTAGAAAAATAAATCGTCATCAGATCCCAAAACCCCAACCTAAAAACACCGATCGACCCACCAACCAAACCAACAAGGAGAAGAGATCCTCACCTGGTGTCGGCCTTCTTGGTCGTATCCGCCTTCGACTTCCCCCGTTTCATGGCGAGGTCTGCAACAAAACCGAACAGATCCGTTCGAAATCGTCACAAAAATTAGCGAAGAAGACACCGATCGAGGTCAGAGAAGGGGCGGGGGGGGGGGGGGGGGGGG